CCCAGTGCCAGTGCCGTTAAGTTCTTGTTAAAGTCCCAACACCGTGTACAAAATTATAGCCATGGGGCATGAAATTTACTGGAACAACAAGCATCCCCAGCCATAATTCATATAATCCACAAAATCCATATAATATATGGTAAGCTTTTATTGACATTGATGCAGCAGCAGCAGCAGCAGCACCTGCCTGCGGTTTTATCACACAACTATTTACACATCATTTCGATCCTTTTGATCCTCATTACCGCGAGGATCGATCGTTAACTGTCTGTCTGTCTTCTTCTCTTGTCTTTGGTTCCTTAGAGGCTGTTTATAGCTGGGCTATCTATCGTCTTGCGGTGGTGCACCTTTCTTGTAGGCCTGGCTATTATCACATATCGTATCGAATATTCTTCCTGTTCCTCCCTGGAGGAACACTCGCTTAGGCAGCCCCATCCTGAATGAGGCATTTGGGGGTATAAACATTGGCCAGAGAATCCCAGCCACAGTCTGCCAATTGATGGGCACGATGGGGATTCCAGTCTAGGCCGCAAACGAATTCCGTGTGCTGCTCGTTGATCTCCTGTGGGGACTCACCACGTTCCAGATTCCAAATTCTGTGGAGCACAAACAGATGCTTTAGTTAACGCTCTTTAAATGAATCAATTCACTCGTACCTTGTGGTAAAATCATAGTTTGCCGATGCCAAAACCGTCGAGGAGTGCGGGGAACAGGCCAAACGCCGAACGGCAAACTCTCCCGAGTACAGCTCGAAGACATGTGTCCGCATCTTGCGCAGATCCCAGCCTCGGATGAGGCCATCCGATCCACCAGTCACCAGGATGTTCCGATCAAAGTGGCTCCAGTCACAGGCGAGAACTTCGCTGGCATGCGCCTCGATGCTCATCAGGGGTTTACCTGCAAAATCAAGAGAATTCCATAAGTTCAACTGTCCATCGGTACTCACGCTTGCAAAGAGATTTGCGATCAGTGGCGAAAACTTTGCGCAATAGATCAAATCACTGTGCCCCACAAAGGTCGTGATGGAGTGCTGTCTGTTGCAGTCCCACAGCTTCAGAGTGCGGTCCCAGCTGGCGGAGAGGAGCGTGTGGTAGTTCCACTGCTCGCCCCAGTCCAGGCTGTAGATCTCGTTCTTGTGCTCCTGCAGACAGATCAGCGGCTGCTTGGGCGTCTCCTGTGCCGCCGCCGCCTCGGCAGCCAAACCAGACCAAATCTGCAGCGAGCCATCGCCCGAGGCGGTGGCTGCCACATCGGCGGCATAGGGACACCAGGCCACATCAAACAGACCATCCGACCACTCCAGACGGCACAGTTCACTCAGATTGGGGCTCTGCCCGTCTGTAGTGGCATTTTGGCTAAGGAGAAAAAGAGAACCACCACCGGCCAGACCGTACAATTGGCTGCAACATCAAGGGAATACAAAAAATAGTGGTGTTAGTTGTGGGGGGTGGTTGTTGGGTTGTGGTTGTGTAGGACTCACCTTGTAGCTAGCAGCAAATAGTTGGCCTCGAAAGGCGAGAAGCGCAGGCTATAGCCATGTCGATCGGTTGTGGTGTGTGTCTTTGATTGCATTTTCAGCTGCAAAAAAATAATAAGAAATATGAAATAAAGTAAGCGAAATAAAGAATCTCCAAAGACGTAAACATAAACATTCTGTTGTTATTCCAGCAATTATCTCTTTTTTCGTCTCCCTTTTGAATCTAATTGTCGTGGACTTTGGACGATCTCAGGCTGCTCTGCACTCACTCTCTCACTCCCCCACCCATCACAACAACACCAACAACAAACTGCTGACCATTTCGGGAGCATCTGTGTATGTATGTATGTATGTATATTGCGTTTTGCTTATTTGAAGACACCTTTTGTGTGTATATGTTTCCCTGGTTTGTTGTTGTGCTACAGATTGGAATCGAAGATAAAATCTGTGTGGGGGATGGACTGCTTGATTTGTTTTTGTTTATTTCTGCACACCCACAACAACAACATATCGGATTATGAGGGGGGCCCCACCTACTGCGTTTTGCTTATTTGCAGACGCTTTTTCTTTGTGGTAGGTTCCCATTGAAGGGGATTTGCCAGCTCTAAAAATGTATTCTAGGAAACACAACTAGACGGGCAATGTCCAATCAATACATCAATATCTGTCTGCATATTTTTTGATCCGACTGGAAAGCTGCAGAGCTGCCACTTGTAGGGCTTCGACGCGTGGCCTCTGTGAAGTTCTGGCTGCGAGTTCTTTTTGGGTGGCATGACAGGCCCTAATTCTTTGTGGAACACAATTTATGCAACAGTTGGGTGACCTCGCACGAGGTCGGAACACGACTTGACATTAGCCAATTTGGTCAAGCGAAAGGTACAAGGAAAGGTACGGGAAAAGCGGAAAACCCACACCATCCACACCCACCCCCAGGGAAAACGCAAGAACTGGCATGTTTGCAGTTTTTCTTTTGGGCAGCCGGACTGCATAACGCCTAAATCCAGTTAGTGGCCACAAGCAGAAAGCCCCCCACGGACAGGGCAAAGGTATATAAGCAGGTCGTACGGCTCTGGCGTTTCGCATTTTCCTCCGGCAAACGGAAAACTCAGGAGCTTCCAGTCGGAAACGCAATCGCAGTCGTAGTCGTAGTCGCAAGTCAAAGGAAGAACCTTAGTTATGGTTGTCTCCGTGAAGGTCTTCAAGAAGGCCACACCCAACGGCAAGGTCACATTCTATTTGGGCCGTCGGGACTTCATCGATCATTTGGACTACTGCGACCCCGTGGATGGTGTGATTGTGGTGGAGCCGGAGTACCTGAAGAATCGCAAAGTGTTTGGCCAACTGGCCACAACCTATCGCTATGGCCGCGAGGAGGATGAGGTCATGGGTGTCAAGTTCTCGAAGGAGCTGATACTCTCCAGGGAGCAGATTGTGCCCATGACCAATCCCAACATGGAGATGACGCCGATGCAAGAGAAGCTGGTGCGAAAATTGGGCAGCAATGCCCATCCCTTCACCTTCCACTTCCCACCCAACTCGCCCAGCTCGGTGACGCTGCAGCAGGAGGGGGACGACAATGGCAAGCCCTTGGGCGTGGAGTACACCATTCGGGCCTTTGTCGGCGACTCCGAGGACGATCGTCAGCACAAGCGCAGCATGGTCAGCCTGGTGATCAAGAAGCTGCAGTATGCACCCCTGAATCGCGGCCAGCGGCTGCCCAGCTCGCTGGTTAGCAAGGGATTCACCTTCTCGAATGGCAAGATCAGTCTGGAGGTTACGCTGGACAGGGAGATCTACTATCATGGGGAGAAGACAGCCGCTACGGTGCAGGTGTCGAATAACTCGAAGAAATCGGTGAAGAGCATCAAGTGCTTCATTGTGCAGCACACGGAGATCACGATGGTGAATGCGCAGTTCAGCAAGCATGTGGCACAGCTGGAGACCAAAGAGGGTTGCCCCATTACACCGGGCGCTAATCTGACCAAGACCTTTTACCTCATTCCGCTGGCAGCCAACAACAAGGATCGTCATGGTAGGCAAAGGAGCACTCAGCCTTGTGGCACCTCTCTTACTGTGTGTCTGTTCCCTTAGGCATTGCCCTGGATGGTCATCTGAAGGATGAGGATGTCAATCTGGCCTCCTCCACCATGGTCCAGGATGGCAAAAACACTGGCGATGCCTGCGGTATTGTCATCTCCTATTCGGTGCGCATCAAGTTGAACTGCGGCACCCTTGGCGGTGAGATGCAGACTGATGTGCCATTCAAGCTGCTGCAACCGGCACCGGGTAAGACTCTCCTACGGTTAGAAGAGGAATATCCCCCGCACTAATTGGGTATAATCTCCTTTAGGCACCATTGAAAAGAAACGCTCGAATGCCATGAAGAAAATGAAGTCGATTGAGCAGCATCGCAATGTCAAGGGCTACTACCAGGACGATGATGATAATATTGTCTTTGAGGACTTTGCCAAGATGCGTATGAACAATGTGAATATGGCCGACTAGATGGGATCCTCTGATATATATAGATATCTTTACATTTGTTTTGTTGTGAAAAACTGCGTCTCGAAAGCACTGAAAACTTGTTGCAGCAGCAGAGGGCCACGCACTGGCCACAGAATCTTTGTATTATAATCGTCTAATACTCTCACTCTCTATATAGAAACAAACTTTGGTGGATCTAGAGTTTATATCCTACCCGGCGGGACCACGTGTCCCTGATCATATTATAAATGTGTTATGGTTATATCTAGAGGACTCACCGCTGTGTATCTGTGTTTCTGTATCCAAATTGTGATGGTAATCCGTAGACGGTTATGGTTTGGTTTTTGCTTGGGTGTTTTTGGGTGCTTCGGCAGATGCTTAGGCCTTCAACTTCAGAAGTCGAATGATGGACAGAGCTGCGCAGCAGAACCAGGAAGGTTCTCTATTCCTCTAGCCTCAAGGTCTTTCCACCAAGGGTGTCTCTGCTGCTGACACTGGGGGTTGCAAAAGAAAGCCTTCGTCTGCTGCCTATAGGTCAACCCTTTGCAACCCCCCCAGCAACAGGCTCTTCCTTCGAGCAACAGCCAATGGGAATGCAGTGAAACTGGCTATGGCAGATCCACCAAAGGAAGTTCCCTTTCGCACAATGGAAGGCGTCGAAAGCTTTTGAATATGCTAAATAGTTCTAGTTCTGAACTTGCCCTGACCTTGGAACCGAATTGACAGCAGCTGCCAGCCAGCGTTTCTAGCGCCTCATCATCATCCCGGGCTAAGAGTTGTATAAGCCACAGACATAACACAGCTGCCGACTGCCCACTGCTCAACTGGTGCACGCTCCATTCGAGCATTGCACAACCAGAGCAGAGCTGTGTGGCTGGGGATGGGGCAGCATCGATCGATTTCACACACCGCTGACTCCTAGCCGCCCGACTTCCGGCCTAGAGGAGATTGTTGTGTGTTGTGTGTTGTGTGTTGTGTGTGTGGTGTCTGGTCTGGTGTGGTGCGGCCAAGAGCCAAGCCCCAAATAGGGCCAACTATAAATGCCAATGCTGTTGTCAGAAATGTTGCCACAAATTTGACGAGCGTGCAACGCGATGGAGCTGCCCAAAAACTCTTGCAATTCCGCCTTTGCGCCAATCCTGCTGTTCCTGCTGCTGCTCCTGCCCAGCTTTAGCTCTGCTCAGCTGCAGCCACATCATTCGTACTATCATCATCATCATCATCCCAGATCTCAGATGTACTACGAGGCGCCACGCCTAAGGCGTTACGAGTATGCCCCCAGCTCCTACATCACTGGCTATCCATTGGCCACCGCTGCCGCCGCTCCAGCTCTCGCTGGGCACTACCAGCAGCAGCCACCGAACTTCCAGCTGATCAACTATCGTCCCAGCTATCAACCACTGGCGTTGGCGTACCAGCAGCAGCAGCTGCCCCTGCCAGTTCCTGCACCGGTGCTGCCCTCCATCTATCAGCAGCCGAGCGTCCAGTACCAGCAGCGATCCATTGCTCCGCACATGGAGCTGGCCAAGTATCGTTACGAGGGGAATTATCTGCCACTCCAAAGGGTCGTAGGAGCAGTTCCGAATCTCCAGCAACAGCAACAACAACAGCAGCAGCAGCAACTGCGTCGCGTGGAGGAGCCACTGCAGCAGCTTTACAACGTGCCACCGGCTCTGTTTACCAGCGATGTGCTGCATGTGATTCCGCCAAGGATAGCCAGGCTGCAGGAGCAACATCAGCAGACGCAGCAGCAGCCACAAACGGAGCGTCCCAGACGCAATGCGCAGGTTGACTTACAGGCGGATGCAGAGACTGCAGAGACCAGAAGTGAGCGAAGGGAGGCTGCAGAGATCAAAAGTCAGCAAAAGGAGGAACCAGAGACCAAAAGACAACTAAAGGAGGAACCCCCAATCAAGGAAACCAAATATTTTCAGTAAGAAATAGGAAAACTCTGGCATTAGGCAAACTTTAAAGACACTTCTTGAGAGTTCAGACATCACTTTACTTTTCCCCGCTGCTATTCAAGTTTCCCAGACATTTTCACAGCGCTTAAGTTTCCATGAAGCAATTATTAATATCCAAAACTATAATCCCTGCCCTTCCCTTAGTGATATTTTTATGCGTTTCGATGGACCCCATTCGCGCTCCCACGGACATGTCTTGAAGCAGCCCAAGGCCGAGGAGCGACGCTTTGAAATGCAGCGCGGCACCAATCGCTACAAGGGGGAGGTACGGCAGGGAAACCATTTGATATCCTAGAAATATCCACACTAATTCGCAGGACTTTCCATCTGTTTAGGTAATTTGGACAGATCGTCAGGGCAGTCATGGTGAGCATCGCTGGGACATGGCTCAGGGAAAACTCTGAGCGCAAAAAGGATTCTGATCTCACTTTCATATTTGCATATTCCATAGCCACCACCCTCTCTAGCACTCTCCGCTCCTCCAGCCCCTGCTCTCTCACTGTACATATCCATAATCATCTATAAAGATCGTGACTTTTCATAATTCTTGTGTATTATTTATTTAAAGGCAATGATTTGGCGTGAAATTTGAAAGGAAATGCTGCCCAAAAGATTTGCATAAGAAAGTGTAGAGTGGAGTGGCATGCCACTCATTCTGATTTTGATTCTCATTCTCATTATTCGTTGTCTAAGGTCAGTGTCTGGGGGTAGGGGGATCTTCTTAGAAGTTTTTCTCACGCCTGGGCCACTGATTGTCCGAACCGGTTACACATCTTTGCAGAGAGAAAAGGTCAATCATGTCCGCTATCCGTTAGTTGCAAACTGGTTCTAGACAGTGACCCTATCTAGAATGTCCTGCAGTCACTTACGTAGTTACAGGAAAAGAGACAGCCAGTCAGACAGCTAGACAGCTAGACAGTCCATCGTTTGCCATGCGGGCATGACGGAGATATGTAAATGCAAAGCCAAAGTAGGAACGAAAGGGGTTGCAGGATGCAGACGTAGAAGCAGCAAACGGATCTTGTAAGTCGGGTGACCTTACACAGGGGTTGCATTGTGCCACTGTGCCACTCATTTGCATATGTATCTTCGATTCTTCGGCCTCAAAGAATGACACACAGACAGAAATGCCCCTGGCACCGGCTTGTGTCCAGTATGTTGATTCACAGCTGACCAGAGAACATCAAGTCTTTGGGAATGTGTGCTACGCCAGGTCTTAGATCCCGTCAAGATCAATATTGAGTCCGTTGCATATGTAAATTCGGTGGCAAGGCAAGGGCCTTTGCTCTATGCGGGTCATTAGAGAAGCGATCGTACCAGCCCGCGACTGTCCAGAACCGGTTCGTAATCGTCTTCATGGGCGATAAGGTCATCCTTTACCCCTTCCCCTCTCTAACTCTTTCGCTGTCTCAGCGTTGGTTCTCACACGCTTTTCCTTAATTTATGCAAGGACATTGCAAAAGGACACTGTCTGAGGCGATTGCGATTGCTGTCTCTGCCTGGATGGTTCCCAAGTGGCAACCGGTCTGACCGGTCCGGTCCGAGCCGTGTCTTTGGGTGACCACGATCCATCCTGGTTCTGGCTTCTTCTTGTGAGAACTCTTCCACATTAGATGGCTGGCCTTTGTCAGCGCCTGAGACTGCCCAAACGGGTTGTCCCTGCACTGCGGATGAGTGTCACTCGTATGTCGAGATCTCCTTTGGTCGTTGCCAATTGCTGCAGGGGTTAGGACCCATTTGTTTACCATTTGTGAAGGCTTGGAGAACTCCGGTGTGACCTCCATCACAGGAATCACACGAGGAGTGGGGAGGTGCGGCAAGGCTGGATTGAGAGTAGGTCAGATTGGCCAGCCTTTAGCCACATTTTCCGTGAATAAACCTTAAAGCATTTCTCTTCTTTTTTGGACAATTTTCTTTAATTTAATATTCTAAACATGAAAGTCGAACCTAAATGAAAATGACATACGATATAGATACAGAAATAATGTTATGATCTCTGCCGATAGCGACATAATTACAGACTACATGGACTTGCGGAACTTTCAAGAGAACTTTCAGACAAAGAGAGAGATAGCCCTCTTACTGACTCTCTACTGGTACTGGTGATATTGCGGCTGCTGCTGATGCTGCTGGTACTGCTGCTTGCCAGGGCTGTGGCTGTGGCTGTGGCTGGGGCTGTACTCCTGCTGGCCCTTGTGGCCGCTGGCACGGAGGAGCTGTGTGGCAGGCGGCTGTGTGGGGATCTTCACCACAATGTCGGTGGGCTCGCGTATGACCTCGGCCTTGAAGCCCTCCTTGGGATCCGCCGTGTACTTGACGGTGCGAATGAAGCCATCGCTGTCGACCACCGAGTAGCTGCCCTTGATCACGGAACCATCGCGCACCTCCTTGCGGTTCTGATAGTTGGTGAATTCATCGTCTTTCACATCGAAGCCGAACTGGTACGAGGAGTTTTGCTGCAAAGAGGGGGAACTCATTTAATTGGGATTGGCCAAATTTGTGTGTGACCCACTTTCGCGTGTGTCCCACCAGTCAGAGGCGATTGCATCATCGAACACACGAAGCGAGCAGGCGCATGCGTGTAGGCGCACCTCAGTCCCAGTCCCAGTCCCAGTCCCCCAACTGCAACTGCAACTGCAACCCCACAAGCGAAGACGGAGTCGGAGTCGGAGTCCGAGTCCCCGATTCCCTCGCATACACGCACAAGTGAAAGTAATTTTTGTGGTGCCGCTTGCATATTTTAATGGCCCACAAGGCGCACGATATCAAAGCGCAAACTGCAGGCATTGGATATCGGAACGGATCGGATTGATCGTGTGGTTATGCAACTGGCAGGCGGCAGAAACGCCCCCCTCCTGTCTCTCACTCTCTGGAAACTCTATTCAGGCATTAGATAATTTATGCACAAGGTTGGGTGTCTCTTTTTGCACTCTGAGGATAAGAGACCTTCAAGCTACGGCTCTAAATGTCGGAACAATCGGAACATCGCGTTTCCCCACAAACTGGGTTAAGGTAACCGCCAGAATCATGACTTCAAGGCGTGGCCAAATCTGCAATCTTTTAGCCCAACAGAACCACAAACAGCAACAACAAAAAACACTCTGCAAATTGGAAAGGCAAAAGCCAGCACTGAATTTGGCTCTAAAGCCGGTTCTAATGCGTGCACTGTCCAATTGCACGGAATTTGGTATGGGAATTGGATCTTAGACAGCCATTTGGTACTGGTCCTCCAACTGCAACTGCAACTGGAAGTGGATGTGAATGTGGAAGTGACTTGTTTGGGTGTATATGGGTCGCCATTTGAAAGTGATTGTGCGGCGGAGAATGCAGCATGTAGCTGCAGCATTTTATGGCGACCTAAAAGCACTAATAAGACTGCAATTATTTGGGCCATAAAAATGTTAGGAATATAAGTAGTTCAGGTCTTAAAGAGTGCGCCATAAAACATAGCAAATGGCAGTAGTATAGAAGTGCAATAATGCAATGAGTATATTTTGCATAACTGTATGCTGGGCAGTTCTTTTGGGATGGCAAATCGATGGCTGATGGAAATTAATATCTTTAGCGGACATTAAGCATTATTGGAAAAGGAATAAACTAAAGAATTCTGCATTCAGTTGCATTTTCTATAGGTTCTCTCTTAAGACCTTCGTTTAGATCCTAAATACGCTTCAACTTTTCACCTCCCCCAAGAGAGCCTTCCGCTAATCTAGCAAATAATTCCTTTCCTTGTTTGCCCAAAACTCCTCATAGTGCCCAATATTTCAATTTATATTCCTGCTAATACAAAAGCTCAATAAGTTTCCATACCAGAGAGAGAGAAAGAGAAAGACAGAGCTTTTTGACCCCATCTGGTTGGCTTTAGCTCTGATGGATTATGGCTAATGTGGTAACGGATATGCAGCAGCTTCCGCATGAGCTGGCCATAAGTAAACTGCTGCTACGTCTGCTGCTGGCCAAGAGAGTAAACGGAGTTAACGGTTAACAGCCAGGCCAATGCACATGCGCCGCAGAGCCACAGAGGCACAGACACTCAGAGTGCATATGTGGCCGTGGCCAAAAACCACAGCTGCTGCTGCTGCTGCTGCCACTGCTGCTGCCACTGTAGGAGGCTGTGGTTAATGAACCCCAAGTCAACGACTAACACCTCCTACTCCCCTCTGTCGTTGCATGGCTCAATTGTAATTATGTTGCTGCGGCACTCAAGCGAAAAGGAAAGTGCGCGAACATCGAACTCGAACTCGAACTCGAATACGAATTCGAACTCGTTATGGGATTTTGGACTCCATTTAACTTACATCATCGTATTCCTCCTCCTCCTGCTGCTGCTGCTGCTGCTGGCGCTGCTGGAGCGAGAGCTTTTGCTGTCCTTTGCCCAGGAGCGAGGGTGCCTGATAGGCGGGCTGCTGGACACGGCGTGGCGGTGGTGCTGGAGCCGCCTGCTGCACCTGCTGGCGGTACACGGACTGTGGCTGCTGCTGCGATTGGTACTGCAAAGGGTCGATAGATAGGGAATACCAAAGGGATACTCGTTTGGGGGCTGGCGGAACTCACCTGCGGCTGATAGTCCCTGAGAGATGGTGCCACATATCCCTGCGGCTGCTGCTGCTGCTGCTGCTGCTGCTGCTGCTGGGCGCGGATCTGCTCGGCCACCGTGTCCTTGACGCGAATCTGCTGTCCCGCATTCACATACTGTTGCGTCTGCTCTGAGTTTTGCTCATAGATGGGCGTCTCGGCGCCCTGCGACGACGATTGCTGCTGCTGTTGCAGCTGCTGGTAGTACTGCCGCAAGTAGGCGGGATCCACGCCTCCCTGCTGCTGCGCCTGCGTAATGGCGACGCACAATGCGGCCGTGGCCACCACAAGGAAAAGTTGCATTTGCATTTTAATTGAAATTGGTATTTTTTTGGAACACTTGAAACACTGTCTATCGCGCACTCAACCCACTTTGGAGATACTTTTGTATCTGCGCTGTCTGCAGGCCCCAATTGCACTTTTATATCGACAAATGTGGGAGCGCCTAGCAACTAGTTCTCTCTCTCTCTCTTTCTATCTCTCCCGCTCTCTGTGGCTCTGGGTCTCGTGTCTCTCGATGGCTCTTTACTGATTTACAACAGCTGTTTTGATGGCGGGGGACTCCGTTGGTGGAGCATTGTCTGTGTGTCTGCTGCATGGATTTGGTTTGGTGCCTCTACCCTCGACCTGTGGCATTGTTTCGATTGAAACTACTGTTTTTTTTTCGTTGCTCCACTTGCAAAACAGAAACAAACATTACGTGATTTGAAGTCCAAACCGCTTAACAGCGCCAACAGTGTAACCGAGCGTGTACAGCCTGTGCCTGTTCTGTTAGTTAACATTGACAGCGGATGGATGCAGAGCGCTGCACTACATTTGTGGATCATGCAATCTTCCCTCATATTTTAAATGTAAATTAAAGTGTGGTTTATTCCATGCCATGCCACAATATTTCTTTATGCAATTGCCTTGCGGCTTCCTAACCATTAGATAATCATCCTCTTGATGGGCGGTTCACAGGTTCTTGAGGTCAAGCTGTTGCCAGCTGGCAACAAGTGCAACGATAGTCTCTTCTCGTCTCTTCTCTATTGTTTCCAATAGGGTTTGACCCAAATTTGTGTAAAATGTTTTTCAGTGTCGCTTTTGTGACTCGTATCCGCCCACCAGCAATCTATCTGTATCTGCCTATCTGTCTAATGTATCCATGTATCTTGTGTTGCGTTTGCGTTGCGGTTGAATAGGTTTCATCAAGCGATCTTTGATGTTGCCAAATCTTTTGCATTCGAAGATATTCCCCCGAGCCCAGCCCTGTGTCATGTGTAATGTGATCGCACGTAGGCCAGACCCAGCCCCAGCCCCAGCCCCAGCCCTAGCCCCAGCCCAGTGTCATTAAACCTCGATCAAGTAAAGATATTTGCATGAAGACCTCCTCCCTCTTTGGCAAAAATTTGATATTTGATGGGATTACAATTGCCTCAGAGTCGCTGGCACTCGTATTACAGTAACAGCAACGCCCTGAATTTGCATGGATATCTGCCATGGTCTGCCTGTCCGTACGTGGCTTGTTACCATGCAGGAGGTTGTTCGGCAAGGTCATTCGGTGGGGTTTCGGAGTGCGGACTGAATCTGAGCTGCAATCGAGGTCTATGGCTCGCTTGTGATCCCAATTTGTAGGCCGAAACAATCGCATTGCTCCGATACGGAGCAGCAATCAAAGAAAACTGAATTTGTGGCTTACTTACCCGTGAAGTGAAAGTACATTATGTGTTTTTTCTGTGTTTCGTTTCACACAATTGTTATGCACATTAAACACGTACCACACTCTCTTCTGCTCTCCTCACGACTCTCCCCACGGAGCAACAGCCACTCTTAAGTGACTTATTTCCATTCCAAATTAAAGTCAAATTTATGTTCATTTTTCAGCGCATGTTTGCGTATAATTTCAATATAAATACGTTTTATTTGTGAAGTGATTGATGATGGTCCGTTCGTTCACGTTCCATGCTCCGATGTGGACGATGCACCGATCTTTCGGCTACTCTTTTAGGGGTTGGGCCTGGGCATGGCTGGGCAGGGTTAAGTTGGGTTGGGCAAGTGGGAACCCATAGGGAGAGATGGTAAACCAATGAATTTTGCTGCTAAATTCGTATTCAAATTTACCTTAATTGAATTACGTTTGAAAATATGTTGAAAGAGAAATACAAAAACTGAGAGTATTTATAGAAATAATTTTGTTACAGGTGCATTCAACTATCGCAAATGAACGACTTCTTGTGTTACAATAACTATACAATTAACTACCAATAACATTTAATTGACTCTTATTTTCAGCAGCTCTGACTTGGCCATGGCCTGCACCTACCAGCTACAAGGTGAGTCCGCAAAATGCAATAACATCTCCTCTATAGTTTGGCACTCGAACCCTTGACTATCTGTCCCAATTTCTGGATCTACTCTTCTAATTGCAGTAGCAACAAAAACAATCCATTGAAATCTTCTCTTTACCCAATTCTTTAGTTACATTTATTAATTAAAACATTTCTATACTTATTACAAAGCCATGACTAGATAACCACTCACCGTCGAACAGAAAAGATTTCTGCTGACAAAAGAATATCTTTAAAACATAAAAATGATCATAAATCAAAATTCCCCTTTATTAGTTTTAATTTTTCTTGTTTTTTTGTTTGTTCTTTTATTAATTAATTTAAGTGTGGTGTGTTTTTGCTATTGCCTATGGGGGAAGGACAGTAAATTAGGGGGCTTGAGGTGGAGTTAATTGATATTTAAGTGTAGGTATATCATAGATTTATTTCGATTCCAAACCAATTGCCAATTTATCATTAAACTTTTGTTAGTTTCTCTCACAATTTCGTCGTCGTACTTTATATAATTTATTGAATAAGTTAAACAGAATTTCATTAAAAATCCGCTAAATATGTTAGGAGATAAACAGGATGCCCCAACGAGATGGATGATGTTTTTATGCTGGAGATGCTGCCTGCCTGGCTGGCTGTTGTTGTTGTCGCTGCAGTTTCTAATATTCGGTGGCACCAATAACGCTGTACATGAGACGGTTGAAGGAGCCGCTCTGGCGTATATTCTCATCGTGAGTGTTTACCACCTGCCGTGGGGGAGATTCACAAATTAAAGATAAATCCAACAAAAATACATTTATTGTTATTCCACTTACATTGTACGGCGGACGGGATACTGGGGCTGATACCGGTTTCTGTAAATGCATGCAGGAAGCGGAATTTAGAAAGAATTATAAGATATATTGTAGAAAGTTATAAGTTACGTATAGGTATCATTGAAACTCCACTAGTTTTGAGTGCAAAAAGTATTTTGAAATGCAATTCTCGAACTGTTATGAGCGTCTGTTAAATGTTAATGCATATGCAAATATGCAAGTGATTTGCGAGCGATTTGGAAAATATACACAGAGATGGGGTTAGTTAATGGATGTGGGCGTAGCATATTGATCGATCAAAAACCAAGTTAGTAGCTACGTTTCGGCCGAGTTAGAGGTCATTACATTACAGGAGCGCTTAACATTCTGCCACAATGTTGGACTAACATTCTTTGCGGTTCAACTGTACATGGGAGAGACGGCGGTACGTTTACAGAGCAACAGAGACAGAGACAGAGAGAGAGAGACAAACAGCGAGAGCAGGAAAGGAGTATACAGATAGAGGGATAGAGAGAAGAGACTTTTGTACAGATGAGAGATTGATTTGAGCTAGAGAATCGAGTATATCGAGTATATCGAGAGCGATCTTTGTCTGATAAGTACTAAGTAATAGTATCGAGTGCCACATGAGATTGTGTGTCGGTTGATAGTAGATTTTGTTCGAGAACGATTCGGTTGCGCACGGTCTTACCTTTCCTGGAACCAATCTATTCGGCTGGTAGACCCTAGTCTGCACAGGTATGGTTACCTCCTGCGGCGGGGCATGGCCATAGTTGCCGCTGTAGCCGCCGTCTTCTTGAATCGCTCTGTAGGTCTCGCTGTTCCTTGGATCGTATTGGACAGTTTTCTTATAACTGCATGCGGCAATTGGTTATCGGTATTTGGTATTTGGCATTGTTTTATTTTGATTGCATTTGATTGATTTTTGAGATCGTTGAAAGCGCCGTTACGTAATATCAAGTTATTTGTTGTTGGATTTTATATGTTTGGTTAATCAAAAAACAGAATATATTTTTTTGGTTTTGTTTTTGGTTTGGTTTTGGTTTTTTTTTGGTTTTTTTTGTATTTTTACATCGGTTGAGTAGCGTGAGAGAGAGTAGTGAGAGAGAGAATAGAAAGAGAAAACAGGATGTGCACAAAATACGTTAGAATTATTTTGTTTTGTTGTTGTTGTTGTTGTTGTTGTAATTGTAGTTTGTTCGAGGATACGGCAGGCCACATATTGTATGTGCGTTTTGTCTCAAACGTCATTTAATTAATAGGAAACTCATTAACAAATTCCTTACGAGCTAATGTTTAAAATGTAATCGAACAGAACTGCATAACAAAAATCATATATTACTATTTATTCAAATCAGTTATCATGTCGGATGAGTCGAGGCCTTAAATTGGGCCTTTGGGATTAGTTTGGGTTAGCTTTGGATTACGATTAATACGGGGATGGGCTGGGGTTGTGGTTGGGGTTGCATGTGGGTTTTTTTTTTCTCTTTTTTGTATGGATGCATAGATGCATAGGAACTTTCATTGGCTGTTTACTGTGAAACAGTTTCATATAAAATGTAATTTAATTGTAAGAATAAATTCAGCAAACGTCTTTTAACTCTTGGATTAGTCTTAGGGGGGGGGAAGGAATTTGGGTGGGGAGCAGGGTGGGTGCTGGGATTTATTTTTGGCTAATATATTTCTTTGATCATTTGTTTTGTTGATAGAGTATCTGCAGTTGGTGCTGTCGCTGTTGACGTTGTTGCTCTGCGAGTTGTTCTTTTTGCTTTTGTTGCTCCAGTATCAAACGTTTTTGTTCCAGGAAAGATAGATCGATGAAAATTCTAACATTAATCGTGCAGCTAAGTTCTAGATAATACAGGATCTAAGTGCTAATAAGCCTAGGGATAGATACTAGATATATCTGTTTTGTTGGTGTTTTCTGTTAGGGTTCTGTTAGGCAGGTCTGTTGCTCATATTTATCACATCAATTGTTCCATATGTTTATTAGGGATACACAGGCACCTTTCCCTACCAAAAGAAACACTTGCAACGCCACCTTATGAAACCTTTGAATCCTACATAGATTCCCAGGGATTAAACACTCTTCCGTAAATGTTGGTTGGTATATACAGAGGTAAGATCTCCAAGCAAACACAGACTCAGATCAGCAGAAGTAGATACAAGGCACATGGGTGAACATTTAGGAGCTTTACGGGGCATATAGACAGAGCAGAGCACATGCAATTCGTGTTTGGGTTTGTTGTTTCTGTTGTTCTGTTCTACTGG